AAAAGTGTTTCATCGCGGAGTTCGTTCCTCTGCGAGATTGGAAGCCCATGGAGTTCCGAAAGGAGGATATCTTGCTGCTGCTATTGCCTTTCGTGATCCAGAAGTGGTGGACGTAGACTCAGAACCAACAACTTCGTCTTCTTCATCTGATGGAGATGCTATTGACTCGATGGTGCTTGAAGATGCTTATTTCGGTGATGGTTTTTCTGGACTAGGTTCTTCTTCCTCTCCCTTTTACTTTTAATGAATTTTCTATCTTGGAGTGTTAGGGGTTTAGGTCACCCCAGAAGAAGACGTGATGCTTTAGTTTTGGTTTCTAAGTTTAAACCTGTAATTCTTGCTTTATAGGAAACTAAACTTCCTAGCCCTACTCTTGCGGCAGTGAGAGAAGTTTGGGGTAGTGGAGCAGTCTCTTTTGCTGGTATTGATGTAGTAGGTAGTTTAGGGGGTTTATCGATTTTATGGGATCCTACTGTTATTTTTTGTTTTGATTCCATTGTCAGAGACAACTTTTTGTTTTTGGGTTTTAGGGGGCCTATTTTGGATTTTTCATGGGGCTTTATGAGTGTTTATGGGCCTAATTCTTCCTCCTTGAAGGATGCCTTTATTTGTGATATGCATGCTGTCGTACATTCTGTTCCCTATCCTATGGTTATTGGGGGGATTTTAACCTTATTAGGTAGCCGAATGTGTGTTTAGCAGAGCACCCTATCAATGTGTTTATGAGAAAGTTTAACCTCTTCATTAAAGAAAATGCCTTTTTCGACCTTTCTATTATTGGTGCTAAGTTTACTTGGTCCAATAATAGTGTGAGCAATCTTGCCATGTCCAAATTGGACAGGTTTTTTGTAGCAGCAGGCTGGTTGGAAGCTTTCCTTCTTGCCTCTGTGAAGTCACTGGTGCGACTTTCTTCCGACCACACCCCTATTCTTCTAAGTACGGGATGTCTCAGAGGGGGGACCTAAACCTTTTCAATTCGAGGTGCGGTGGCTAGAGGAAAAGGAGGCAGTGGAGATTATTCGAAGGATCAGGATGAACACGGTAGTGATTGGCCAGATGGATTATCAAATACATAAGAAGTTACTGAATGTTAAACACAAGTTACTTCTTTGAAAGAGAGAGAATAAGGTTGACATAAAGGCCAAGATTGACGCTATTTTAGCTGATATTGAAGGTTTAGAGGCTGATTCTCAGTTTAATGGAGAGTTGACTGAGGCTCTTGTTTTGGAACGTACTCTTAAATTGAAGGAGCTTGAGGAGCTACGGAGATTGGAAGAAATTTATTGGAAGCAAAGGTCTAGAAATAATGGTTGAAAGAGGGTGATCTAAATACTAAATTCTTTCATGCTATCGCTTCCTCTAGAAGAAGGAAAAATGATATCTCAGGTTTGACGATCCCTAGAATCGATTATGAGAATACTGCGGCTATAAAAGAAAGAGTAGTAAATCACTTTAAGAATGGTTTCTCCAGGGAGGTGTTCTTATACTCTAGTTTTAACAATGTCCCCTTTAAGGTGTTGCAAGGGGCTCAAGCTGGAAATTTGGAAAGACCTATTTTTATGGAAGAATTAAAAAAAGCTGACTTTGCTTTGACTGGTGATAAGGCGCTTGGCACGAATGGCTTCCCTATGATTTTTTTCCATAAGTTTTGGAACATTTTAAACGAAGATTTATTGATGATGGTTAGAGAATTCTTTCCTACCAGTAAGATCTTTAAAGGTATTAACTCTACCTTCCTGACTTTGATTCTTAAAAAGTCGACTATAAGTGAGCTCTTTGATGTCAGACCGATTAGTCTGTTGACTAGTGTCTACAAAATCATTGCTAAAATACTTGCTGACAGACTGAAAGAGGTTCTACCTTTCCTTATTTTGAAGTCCTAATCAGCTTTTATAAAAGATCATCAGATTATAGATAGTGTGTTGATTGCACATGAGTGCATCCATTCTTGTGTTTTCAGTAAAAAGGAAGGGGTCATGTTAAAATTGGATATGGAAAAGGCCTATGACAGGGTGGAATGGGGGGTCCTGCTTGAAATCATGAAAATGATGGTTTTGGAGATAGATGGAGAAGCTGGATTTTTGAGTGTCTATCATCTGCACACTTCTCTATCTTATTTAAGGGAAGCCCCATTTGTTTTTTTAATGGCTTTAGAGGACTTTGTCAAGGGGATCCTCTATCACCATTTCTCTATCCCATTTATGCCGAGTGTTTTAGTATCATGTTGAGTAAGGTTAAAACGGGTGGTAATTTCTCAGGTTTCAAAATTGCCAACTCAGATATTATTGTTTCTCATCTCCAATATGCGGATGATACATTAGTGTTTTATGATGCAAAGATAGATCAGCTGGAAAATATTGCTAGATTTTTTGAAATTTGTGAAGTGATTATGGGTATGAAAGTGAATTTCCACAATCTTCTTTGGTAACCATTAATTGTGGGACCGATGTAGCTGTGAATCTGGCAAGAGTTGTGGGTTGTAAAATAGCAAGTTTCACCATTTTCTATTTGGGCTTGCCTACTTCTGATGCCAAGTTTCCTATTGCCGTGTGGGATAAGGTTATTGAAAGGGTACAAATTAAACTTGACTTATGGAAGTACAAGTATCTATCTCTTGGGGGGAGGGTCACACTACTGCGGTCCTGTTTATCCAATCTCCATGTGTACCAGATGTCATTGATCCAAATGCCGGCTTCGGTAGGAAGAAAGCTCGAGAAAATGATGAGAGATTTCCTTTGGGGCTCGAACGATGACCATAGGAAATTTCACTTGGTTAGATGGGACGGAGTTTGTACTCCCAAACGCGAAGGAGGCCTGGGCTTTAATGAGGCTCTTTTATGCAAATGGTGGTGGCAAAGTATTATTTATAAGGACCAGCTCTGGTATAATGTTCTCATTGCTAAGTATGGCTTGGACATTCATAGTTTGTGGATTGGTGGAGGTAGAGGGAATGAGACTTCTTTTACTTGGAAAGCATCTATAACTGCAGGCCTATGATCTCTGGTTATGTCAGATGGAATGTTGGAAGTGGTAGGCAAGTCATGTTTTGGCATCACAAGTGGATTGGTGAATTCTCACTTAAAGTCACATTCCCTGTCCTTTTTCGTATGATTTCTGAACCAAATGTGCTCATTGGAGAGATTGTGGAGAGAAAAGGGAATGGTCTCTCCTAGAATATAAATTTTAGATACAGGCGACTAAGTGAAGTTGTTTTTACTCAATGGTGTACTTTGCTGGACAAAGTATATATCTCACATGATGCGGTTGATGTGTTGATTTGGGAGATTGAGAGTGATGGATTTTTTTCAGTTAAATCTTGTTATAATTTATTTTTTCACTACCGTTATAGATGGTATTTCATTGAGATTGTTCAAATTTGGAAGTGGCCTATCCCCCATAAAGTACAAATCTTTATTTGGTTGGCAGCACAACATAAGATCTTAACCATAGACAATCTTATGAAGAGGGGAAAAGTTTTACCTAATATCTATTTACTCTATAAACAAGATGGTGAATCGATTACACATCTCTTGATGCATTGTCCTTTTACTTTAGGGATTTGGCATTGGCTTTTCAGGTGGAAGGAGAGGAATAGAAGAACCTTTGAAGGTGTGACTTTGCGCCAACAAAAAGTGATTCTTTTAATTAAGCAGTCGATTTGGTACTGTATTTCTGTGACCAAGGAGGGATGGGGCATCACAAAAGTGGATGTGATGGTCAATCTTTCCAATCTATTTTCTCTTGGGGTTAGGAGGCATCGATCAAAGGCTTTGTGGTTAGCTCCACCCTTAGGCTGCCTTAAGCTTAATTTTAATGGTAGCTCTCTGGGTAACCCAGGTCTGACGGGTATTGGGGTGTAATCCGTGATTGTTATGGGCAAATTTTGCTGAGATGAGTGCTGTTCTTAGAGGTTTGCTCATTTTTATAGACTATAACTTGGGGACAACCTGTTTAATTGAAGGCGATTATTTAAACGCTATTAGATGGTGTACAAAGAAGCATTCTATTTCGTGGGAACTTTGATCTTTATGGTTGCAGATTATGGATGTTATAACAACCTTGATTATTGCTTTCTCCCATGTTTATAGAGAGACTAATGAGGCTGCTGATATTTTGGCAAAAGGGGGAGTTGGACTTGTTTATCTCTCTATATCTCCTGATGTAATTTCTTTCTAGTTTATTGATAAAATTTTGAACATTGGTCAAAAAAAAATAAAAATAAAATCTTTCGACACTATTAAAGGTGCGCCTTACAGGACCTATGTTTGTTTGTTTAGGACCTCAGCCTTATAAGAACCAAACCTTCATTAAATGCAAACTTCACTTTCTTGGGCCAACCTTATTTGGGTACACTTGTATGCATTTGTTGTTTCATCTTTCAAGGGTACACATTCTACAAAAAGATACAACATTGAGGAAGCTTGTATTCTCGCATAACCTTCATTGTCTCAAACGTGATCATCCTGATCAATATATCTTCATTTTCCCTTTCTTCCATGTCTTCTAGAAAGTTCTTTCTCTATTTTTCCCTCTCTCATGTAAGGCCCAACAAGAGATTGTAGATCAATGCCACCGGCAAAGAAACAAGCATGCTGAAAATAACCCTAAAATCGATGTGAAAAATCAGTAAGCCATTTTAGGGATTTCATAATTTTTAATAAACCACAAAGGTTTTTTGAGACTCACGCGGTGCTCAAAACTTCTTCATGCACTTGGTACTCTTTAGCATACACAAAAGTACTCACTCCTTGTGGAAGCGCTACTTGCATTTTCAACTTGTAACTTCAACTCTCTCTCTGGATTTACAAGTGATCTCAATAAACAACTATCATCACTCCAATAACTATACTAGCTAACAATTAGAAGAAAAGCTTGAAAATGTTATTTTGGTTATTCAAGACTAGAATCAAATGCCTGTAAGGAAAATTGAAATTTTATTGTGGTAATTGGGTGAAATTTTTTCTTGTATTCTCCTTTTTTCTTGATTTAAATAGCGGGTTAAACTTTCATGTTAAACCCATATTAGGATGCAAAATTTAGATTCATTTGTGCATCAAATTTGCTTTATAAGTTTCATAATTTGCATGTCTGTATTGCAGCAGTCTTCAGTGCAATGCTCCGTATGCCAATTGCAATAGAGCACATAGCCATTACACTAGATAAGAATATAAATCTCACAACCATGCTTAAGATAGCCTTTCTTTTCCCACATGCTATTATCTTGCGTTGAGATCCCATAAAAATACCTACAAACAAAAACATAAGATCAAGCGCATCGCTTCAAGAAATCCTTTTGATAATAGAAATTAGACCTTCATGCCCAAATTTCTACTCAACAAATTTGTCCCAAAATGCTCTTCAACATTCACCATTTTTCTTAATGGATTTGGTTTATTTCGCCAAAAAGTGTGACTACTACTTGAACAAATTCCAATTATCAGTTTTCATATTGATGTGGCTAATGTGTGAGGGTACAACAGCTTAGTGAGAGCAACACACACAAAGAGAGAATTTAGAGAGAGAAAAGGGTAGGAGCCAAGCTCTACCAAAAGAAAACTGCTGTAAATTTTATTCAAAATTCATACTCCCTTTTTTACAGCCATTGTAGAACCCTTATATAAACTGAAAACCCAAGTCTACATTCTTCTAAAGACCCCCTAACAAAGTCCCTATATATTGGAAGTTCAAATCCCACCTTTAGAACTCATAAAACATGCAAAAATAACCTAGTACCTATGCAACATAAGTTCCAATACAAATTACAATAACTTCAATGCAAGACTCCTATTTTCCCTATATATTCAAAGCTACCCAATTTCCTACAAAAACCACAAATTCCCAAGTGTACTCCTACTCCCAATCCTAGAAATTAACTCTCATTAGGACCCACTTTCTCCCCATTTAAAGCTTATGGGAACTAGTGGTCCAAATTGGACTTTTGGGTCTCAAGTTGACCTATATCATCCTCCCTAGGATTGAGAGAACTCGCCCTCGTGTTTGCATTCGAAATACCATAATACTCGGCAACATCTTGCACATTAAAATGCGACATCGTCCAAACTTCTTTTCTTTGAGCTTGTGGTAAGTTCTTGCAGGAAATCTTTCTTTCTTTCTTTAGGTTCATGCAGGAAATCTTTATTTCACAAAGTCTCCCACATTGAAGACCTTGTGCTGATGGCGTATTAGCCATTTCTTTGTAATTTGCATTCCAGCCTTTGCTGGATATCTTTATGAATTTTTATCATAGATTCAGCAAGGTCCTCCAACACTTTGTTTAGTTGAGCCGAATCGAGCAAAGGGACAAGATCGAGGGAGTGGGAAGGAATACGTCCATAAACCACCTCAAAGGGACTCTTTCCAGTAGATCGATTCACCATTGAGTTGAAAGCACACTAAGCTTGAGGAAATACCAAATCTCATTGTTTTGGTCTCTTTTGGTCTTTTTCCTGACAAGCTTCAAATATGATTACCAAGTGTCCGATTCACAACTTCAGTTTGACTATCCATTTGAGGATGATATGCACTACTGTAAAGTAAATCAGTTCCAACCCTTTTCCTTAAGGCTCTCCAAAAGTGGCTGAGAAATTTGGTATCATGGTCCGATGTAATGGATTTGGAAATGTCATGATGATTAACTATACACCAGCATTCATTGTTTTCTTGCATGGGATAAAATGGGCCATTTTAGAGAACCAATTAACTAATTGAATCCATGCCTCGTTGGGTCCTTGGTAAACCAAGCACAAAATCCATGCTTACATCCTCCCATGGATATTTTTGAACTGGTAAGAGAGTGTAGAGACCTGTATTTTGAGCACGATCCTTTGAAACTTAGCAAATTTGGCATCACCTTATATAGTGATTCACATCTCGATGAATTCTCAGCCAATAATACTTCTCCTCCATCAAGGAAATGGTTTTGTCACGACCAAAGTGCCCACCCAAGCCACCGGCATGTAGCTCATTGATGATGCCTTCTCGTAGAGAGCATTTGGTTATAAATAGTTGAACCCCTCGAAAGAGGAATCCATCATGGAGTAGGAAGCTCCCTTGTTTGCCCTCTTTACATGATCTCCAAACTTCTCCAAAATCCGGGTCACTTTCATATAGCCCTTTTATTTCCTCAAAGCCAAGGATACATGCACTCATAATATTTAGCAGCAAAACACGTCTACTAAGGGCATCTGCCACTTGATTAAGTGTTCCACTTTTGTGCTTTAACACAAAACTGAATTCTTGCAAGAAAGCCACCCACTTAGCATGCCTTCGACTAAGGCTACTTTGATTATTGATGTACTTGAGTGCTTCATGGTCTGAGTTCAAGATGAACTCCTTTTGAATGAGATAGCGTCGCCAATGCCGAAGGGTCTGCACAACGGCATAGAATTCCAAGTTATATGTTGAGTAATTCTGCCAAGCCTCATTGATTTTTTCGCTAAAAAAGGCTAATGGATACCCTTTTTGGCAGAGTACTCAACCAATACCAACTTTTGATGCATCACAATCTAACTCAAACACCTTATCAAAGTTGGGCAGCGCAAGCACCGCTGCGGTTGAGAGCTTTTCCTTGACAAGTTGAAAGCTCTTCTCGGTGGATGGTAACCATTGGAATTCTCCCTTCTTTGTGCAATCAGTCAAGGGCGATGAGATGGAGCTGAAATTTTTTATAAAACTTCGATAAAATGAAGCTAATCTATGAGAGCTTCGCACATCATGGATGCTTTGAGGTGTAGGCCATTCTTGGATAGCCTTTACATTACTTTCATCCACCCGCACACTTATAGTGGACAAAACAAAGCCTAGGAAAACTTGGCAATTTGTTAAGAAAGCACACTTTTTAAGATGAATATAAAGCTTTTCACTCCTTAGGGAGGTTAACACAGCCCTTAAGTGCTTAATATGCTCTTTTGAGTCATGACTATTGACAAGGATATCATCAAAATAGATAACAACGAATTTGCCAATAAATGGCCGAAGAACCTAATTCATCATACGCATGGAAGTGCTAGGAGCATTGGTAAGACCAAATTCCATGACAAGCCACTCATATACACCCTCGCGAGTCTTGAATGCAGTTTTCCATTCATCTCCTGATTTAATTCAAATTTGGTGGTACCCACTTCTTAGATCAATTTCAAAAAACACTTGGGCACCCTCCAACATATCATCTAACCTTGGAATTGGAAACCGATATTTGATAGTGATTCTGTTGATAACACAACTATCAATGCACATTCGCCATGTCCCATCTTTCTTTGGGGTTAACAATGCTGGCACAACACATGGACTCATGCTTTCTTGGATAAACATCTTGTTAAGTAGGTCTACAACTTGCCTGTGAAGTTCTTAATGCTCCCTTGGGCTCATACAGTAGTGAGCCTTGTTCGGCAAGTTAGCACGAGCGAACAAATTGATTTGGTGTTGAATATCCCTTAATAGGGGTAGTCCATTTGGTAGATCATCAAGGGTGATGTCCTTGAACTCCTCCAAAAGGGGTTTCAAATCATTAAGTACACTCGTGGGTGTCACCTCTTCTGTTGCAACCAATGCAAACATGACTCCACTTTTATCACTTTCTTTCACAAGCTTAGACAACCCTCCTCTTGGATAGATTTGGGTGCCCTTTCTTCTTTACTAAGCAAGAGAACGACCCCTACATTATCCGTCCGGACTGTGTAGGTATTTTTGCGGCCATCATATTTGAGTCTCCAATCAAACTGCTATGGCCTTCCAAGAAGTATGTGACATAAATTCTTAGGAACAACATCACACCAAACTTCGTCTTTATAATTTTTACCCAATGAAAAAGAAACTAAGTAACTTTTAGTCACTTTTACCTCATTTCCTTTCTTGAACCATGCAATTCGATAGGGTCTCGGATGCGATTCAGTTTTCAGTTGGAGTTTGTCCAGTATTTCTTGCGAGACAATGTTACCACAACTTCCTCCATCAATAACAATGGTGCACACCTTGCCACTTGATTTGCAACGAATTTTGAAGATATTAGAACTCAGCCAATCCTCGTCAGAATCCACTTTTGGAGTGGTTAATGCTCGGCGAATCACCAAGCTCTCTCCAGCCTCAGGTTTGATCTCTTCTCTCAACACATTTTTCTCCTCATCACAGATGAGCTCTATGGTATCATCTACAAACTCTTCTTAATCTCTCTCTGCCACAATGTTGACACGGGTGTCAACTTGTCACCGAGGATACTCACTTGCTATGTGTTCAGTTTGGCCACATTTGAGGCAAGTAAGAGGCCGGTTAACTTCCCTCGACTGTCTTTCCATTTGAGCCGACCCACCTTGGCCAGTCGTGGAGCTCTTTGAAAGATTCTTACCGGTATTTCCACCTTTGGAAGTTTCACGCTTTGAAGGTGGGTAGAAACTACATATCTCGACATACTTTCATGCACCACCATGAGAAAGATTCCCCTCAACCTTCAAAACTAGTTGATAGGCATAATTGATCTTTCATAACAGATGCATCTCTACTTCAGCACGGATCGCTTACCACAATCCACCAACATGCCTTGAACCGAGTTGTTCCTTGGTTTCTTGGATATCGTTTCACACCATAAAACTCCTCAGTGTACTCAGCCACACTCTTTGTTTATGTCAGAGATTATTGAATTGTAAAAAGAACAATTGAATGTAATCAACTGGTAGGAATTTCTCTTTCAACCTCTATTTCATTTTTTCCCAAGATGAAATCTTAGGCTTTCTTTTGCTTAGGTGCATTTGTTGGACTTTGGCCCACCATGTTAAAGCATATCCGTGAAACCTAGTTGCAACAAGCTTCACACGGAGTTCCTCCGGTGTTTCCTTGAAATCAAAGTATTTCTCAACGACACTCAACCAATCAAGAAACTCTTCTAGGTGCAGCTGTCCATGGAACTCGGGCAATTCAAATTTGATGAAGTCATTCACAAACACGGGCCTGGTTTCAGGGTCATCCCTTTGTCGACGCTGATTGGCAAAAGGATTAATATCCAACTCATCACCTGAATATTCCTGGCTGAGTTCATGTTCACTACAAGCCTCTTGTAGCTCTAGTCGCAAGGTTAACTGCTCAACTTGCCTACGAAGTGCCTTCAACTCTTCTCTCTTGCGTTGTTCACTCCGTAGTTGCCATGACCACCTCTCCTCCTTTTTGGCACCATGCAAAGAGGATGTGTAAATGGAGGCAACACCCTACCCAAGCCTAAACTCAGGCTCTAATACCAAATGATGCGGCTAAAGTGCGTGGGTACAACAACTTAGTGAGAGCAACACACACAAAGAGAGAATTTAGAGAGAGAAAAAGGTGGGAACAAAGCTCTACCAAAAGTAAACTGTTGTAATTTTCATTCCAAATTCGTACTTCTTCTTTATAGGCATTGTAGAACCCTTATATAAACTCAAAACTCTAAAGTTCCCCTAATCAAGTCCCTATACATTTGGAAGTTCAAATCCCACCTTTGGAACACATAAAACATGCAAAATTATCCTAGTACCTATGCAACATAAGTTCCAATACAAATTACAATAACTTCAATGAAAGACTCCTATTTTCCGTATGTATTCAAAGCTACCCAATTTCCTACGATAACGACAAATTCCTAAGTATACTCCTACTCCAAATCCAGGAAATTAACTCTCATTGGGACCCTCTTTCTCCCCATTGAAAGCTTATGGGAACTAGTGGTCCAAATTGGACTTTTGGGTCTCAAATTGACTTACATCACATATGTTTTCTTTTATTTACTAATCAAAGTGAAACCTCTCTTTCAAACCAACAATCATATGTTTTACATGTAGTAGGCTTACTACTTCAGGCCCTGTTTGGACATGGCAATGGTTATGCCCAAGGAATAGTCCTACTTACATATATTGGATAGTCTGTAACATAATAGTCGTAATTGGTGTTAGTCATAACAAATATGTCCTTGTTATAGAGGAAAAACATCTGTTGTCACTGTTAGGGGTGTTTCATAGGCGTTTTGAGGAAAAGTGGGGTACTAAAAAGATAGGCCCCTATGAAAAGTGGTGGGCCAAGGTGTGATGCCTATAACTCTTTAATAGGTTTTAAAAAAAGGGAAACTGTTTCACGTGGGCTGGACCGCATTTCTACATTATGTGGTCCCGAGGTATAAAACATAAATCTTAAAGATAGATGCAAATAGGTGGTCCATATAAAAACAATTGAAACTAACGGTCCAAATGTTTATAGAATTATTATTTTTAATTTTCAAAATTTATTTCTTTTTTCATATTGATGATTTCCATGTTAGAGATTATATGTTCTTAAAAATTAGGTAAAAAAAGCTATCTCAAAAATAGCTTTTTAAGAAGTTACTCACTTCTACATGGACTCATAGAAACCATGTCCTTAAAAAAAACTAGGCTATTTCTAAAAGTTAATGCATATCAATCAAATTAAAAGACCTAAACTTGAATTAAAGTGGAAAACCTAAGCTACATTTGATTAAAAAAATTTAGGCCTCTAACTAGAATTCATACATTAGGTAAAGTAGTAGTAATTTGTCGAAAGAGAGATACGTACACAGATCTTTAAGTGGGGCACGCACCTAGACTGAACGTTGCCATGCCAAGTCCAGTGTCTGACAATATCGACACAGATTTGTCTATTATCTTTGGCATGCGAATGTTCCACCTGCAATAACAAGATAAACCGTTATCCTTTGTGGAATATGGAAAGTCTTTTCTGTAGAGAAGGAAATTCACTTCTCAATCATTCAAAAAGTTTCGTAGAAACGTTCTTTGAAAAAACTTAGCTTGAAACTAATTGGAAAAGCTGAAATCTAATAAGAAAAGTGTATATTGTCTATAGGGTTAATATATAAGGTGTATATTATAATCAATATGTATTTGAAGGATAGGTGAGGGTTGGTGCAGTATCCTATATTTTATAGTAAGTGTGGATATAGTAAGGGTGTCAAGGATTTCTTTCTATTCCTATCATCTATTAATTGTCTATATAAGATAAGTTTGTAAATTTATAGCTGGGTGCGGTTTGTATAGAGCCTAGGTTCTAAACAATCAAATTAGAACCTACCTTCAAATAGTGTCGAAAAATATGGTTTAATACTGGAAATATTTTTGATAGCCTTAAAGTATATTTTCATCTTTATGTATAAAGTTTAAATCTTAAAAAATAGTGTAAATTGAGAGATCTATGAAAACTTGAAAATCTTGAAAATTGATGGTCCAAAAGTTCGTTACAGAATACACTATTTCCAAAACTTGAAATCCATTTTTTTTTTCATGCCCATGCATCTTGATGTTGAGATGATGAATTTGAAGATATTTGGGCATCAAAACAATCTCTTCTAGTGAAAGTATAGAGGTTGGTTTGCATTTGATTGTTTAGAGCCTCGGCTCTATATAAACTTTTCCCTTTATATATTAAGGGACACAAAGTCTCTTCAGAGAAACCTTAGACTCTAACTCAATATCAGAGCCTTAGATCATATTCGCCTTACCCGGCATTACCACTGCTTCTATTGGTCTACATTATTACTTGAAGATCCAATTTCTTGTTTCCACAACTTATTATACAAACTCCAATTGTTATCTCTTAAAGCATTTTGAGTTTGGAGGGAGTGTCAAAGGAAGTGTATATTGTCTACATGGTCAATATGGAAGGTGTATACTATAATCAGTATACTATAATTAGAATGAATGGGAAGGGAAGGTCAAGTATCCTATATTTTATGGTGTACTATATATGTCTTTGATTATTACTATTATTTTTTCATTTGTTATTTTTTTATATAAGGTAAGTTTGTATATTCATACATTAATGGATATAGAGAGTCTCTTCAGAGAAGCCATAAAATTTTACTTCTCTACAAATTTTACGGCCATAAAATTCATGAAGCCAAATACACAATGTTAGCACCTACTATACCCACACTAATTAGAAAATACATGATACTGCACCTACCCTTGCATCTATCATTCGAATACATTTTGATTATAATGTACACTTTATAAGAAGCAAGGAAAGAAAGAAAAATAGTAGGTGGTAAGGTGACATTGTATATGCTGGTCAGTGTTTCATTTATCATTTCTTACCTAAAATTATTTACGTGATGTACACATTTATGGAATCCTTGTTAAATTGTCAATTTGCAAAAAGAAAACCACTTTTTTTTTACAAAGAAGGGAAACAAAAAAACAAACAAAGAGAAATTACCTAAAGGAAATCAGTCCGCATATGAGGCCCAAAACACTTCCATAGGTATTGGGGTTCTTCATAACCTTGGATCCACCAAAAAGAAGAGATTGATGGTGGTCATTCTCGGGTCGGTCAGTTCCCCTTGGACTTCTCCTTGGACTTCTCTTTCATTAGAATGTGCTAAATCACCTACTTCATGAAATTGATTTTAACAACATCAAAACCACTTAGCATTTCCAAAAACCAGGTCAAAACAAGGTCAAACAAGGGAAGGCATTTCCAAAAACCAAATTTGAGAATGAATAATTGCTTGGCATTTAATTTGGCTTGAATTGTAATTGCTTGGCATTTAATTTGGCTTGAATTGTGTCAGTGTGTCCCCAAGTATGTTTCAAGAGTAAAATGTTATGTAGCCAATATAAATTGAATACTTGGTATATACAGTCCATATTGATGTGAAGGCCTAGTATATGAATTTTGATATTGAGAGTTCGAGACACCTGAATTTTAATCTTAAAACTTTAATATGTTTCTAAAGTTTGCTAGAAAATTCTCTGAAATCATCAGATTTTAAGAAAAAATGCTACTTAATGGAGAAAAAGATAGTCAAAAGGAAAACAAAAAAACAATTGTTTGCCATTTATTTGATGTGGTGGTCAGGAATGGTCCCAAAGCTCGAGATGGAAATGCACATTCAAAACTTAAGGGAATGTATATTATGAATCATCCAATTTTTATACAAGATGGTCACAACCATCTCTAGCTTTTAGATTTGAAATTTGGACACTAAGAACAATACACAAGGTTTGAGAAAATTTTTAGTGGGCATTGTGCATAATCAATGACACACCCTTAACCATTTGATTTCAAATTTGATGGCTAGGAATAAGTGTCACCTCCTATGTTAAAAGTAAATGGACTCATCTTATGCTTTTTCCAAAAACTTAATATGACAATATTATTGTAAATGGACTCATCTTATCCTTTTTCCAAAAACTTAATATGACAATATTACTAGTATAATGCTTGTATAGTATATTAAAGCAATCACCTTTCTCAAATTTTTGAATTTGTGGAATTAGCATAGCCTAAATATATTCAACCAAAAAAATAGCATGTCTTTCATCATTCATGTATCTCATTGGAAACTTTTGATGCAAAGTACATCCACTCTCCCTCAATCCGATTTCAGCCAGGCTTGACACAAAGCCGATAGGATAGTGTTATCAAATGTACTGGCCATCGAATCAGTGAGGATCAGATGATCTAATAGATGTGACTAGAATTTGAAAGAATAAAAACTACTATAGATGTGATTAGATTTTGAAAGAATAAAAACTATTAAACTAATCAGTTTTTTACTAAACTTAATTTTTATTTTAGACAAGACTGGTCAAAGATACCGTCCGCCATGGTTCTCCTTTCTCATTTCCCATAAAGCAAAGGTATCACACCTGGGCATTCATTTGCTGGGGTTACCTGAACATCCATCATCTCGTCGTCTTCTTTTCCCTCATGTGTATCATTTGTTGTACCCACGTTACCATTCATCGTCACCTTCACAGCATGAAGCTCATACAAACACAAGAAGACGGGGCACCACACCACCAACTGAAGAACCACGACTTGAACCAAAAGCGCTATGTTCTCTTCCCCATACATCGGCCTTAACAAAGGTATCCCAATAATCAATGTGTTAGGCATAATAGATAGAGAAAATAGGGTTATCATCCAATTGAAGCTTCCCCACCTAGTGAATTTAGTCCACAAAATTAATACAAAGAGAATCAATAGTTTTTGCATTGTATCAGCTAATATGAACTTCAGGTTCATTTTATGAGGATCACTGGATGAGATGATATTGAACGCTAGGAAAGGTATTGCAAAAGTCGCAACAAATCTGTTGATTCCTGAGCATTGTTCAGGTCAGAAAATTTCCCACCATTTTACTGAGGCGTAGGCTAAGAACATGGCAAACATATAGAGGCTCCATAGCCGTGAAAACTGCATATAAATCTGCTAAGGAAATCATTTCCAGTCAGTTGTCTCTATAATAATCTGGCTCTTGCCACCTCCTTCCAACCCTCCCCCCTCTCTCTCTCTCTCTTGTCCCCAGTCTAACCCTCCTCTCTCTCTCTCTTGTGCCTCTCTCTCTCTGTAATGTGGGGTTGGATTCTTGCAGGGTTTGAAAACTCGTTGAGTCGAGCCGGACTCGCCCGGTTCGACGACCTCCTCTCTTTCTCTTGTGCCTCTCTCTCTCTACTGTGGGGTTGGTTTCTTGCAGGGTTTGAAAACTTGCTGAGTTGAGCCAAACTCATTCAGTTCGACTCGAGAATCGTCTGCAACCGAGCCGGTTCCATGAAAAAATCAGGAATCGACTCGACCGGGAATCGCCCGCAAGTCTTACACGTGGCCGCCTCACTGGAGCAACACGTGGCACCTAAAAACCGAGACGTGGCACCTAAAAAACCTCCACACGTGGTAACTCACCTCACATGTCGGCCCCATCACTTTCTACACCCACAATGTAATATCTATTACCCATGAATATATAGAGAACAAAGCAACGCTCATCCTTCGATGTGGGATAATTCCCACAAAAAATCATTAAAGCAAAACGATTGAATATATATTATTATAGAAGCCAATATATTCACATTAGGTGACATGACGATGTTGGTTGACATTTCTAATTTTAAGGGGGAGGTCTAGAGTTTGAACCCCTTAGCGCGCGAGTTCTCGTTTTTTGTTGTCAAAAACATTTTTGTTATAAAAAAAATAGAAAAAATAAAAAATAAAAGGCTTTCAAGATAAAGATAAAAAAGATAATGCAACATTTTTTTATTTTTATTGTAAAAAAAAATACAAAGTAATATAACAAGTATGTCTTACAAAAAAATAAAACAAAAGGCATAAAAAAATAAAATGTACTTTGGCAGCATTATTTTTTTATTTTTCTTGTAAAAAAAAAAAAAGTAATACAACAAGCAAAAAAAAATGTAGTACAACATCTTCTTCTTTTGTCAAAAAAAAAAAAAGATAATCAACAAGTATCATATTTTTCTTGTAAAAAAAAAATAAAAGATAACACAATAAGTATTTCTTGTCAAAAAAATAAAAGGTATTTCTTAATGCAACCTAAGAATAAATGGTTTGAATATATTTTTTTATTTTTATAACATGATGGTCTTTAACATAAATTTAGTAATATTAATTTAAAGATAGGATTCATACAATGAGGTCATTTGAAATCTCCCTCTTTCTACTACGTAGTACTAACAATCTCTTCCACTAATTATTCTAGAAACATAAAAAATTAAAGAAAATTGGTACGCATTCTAATAATTTCTCCATTGATAACCAAATCTTTTATTTTATTTATTAATGTTTGTATTATAAATCATGTAGTGTACTATTTTTATTACAGTTGTCAATAATACATTTTAAATTAGATGATATTATAAAATATTTTGGATTTGTTATTATTTATATAATAAAATAATTATAAAATATTGTTGGTATTTAATATTATAGTTAGTTAGGTTGCAATAATTTGGGTTTTTTTAGCGGATTAGGGTTTTTTGTCAATTCGAGATTTTAGTGGCCAATTTATCATCTATTTAGTCAACTCTTTATTGTAGTCTATATATGATTATATACTTAATCCATGACAGTTCTATGATTTCTTTTGTATGACATAAATTTAATGGTCAACATAAGTTCGTACAGGGAAAGAACATCTCAATATTCATAAATTGATGAAAACGATGAAAGTTAATAATGTAGTACCCCCATTTCTTATTGGATTATTAAAAAACAACATTTATAATGAAATTTAAAATTTTTTTTGAATTTTTTTAAGATTTAATCCGAGTGATTCGGCCCAATTCTCGATCCGTATTGTCGATTTGCAGATTCGAATCGGTTTTTAAGATGTCCTATCGGGATCACCGATCCGTTTTTTAAACCATTGGTTTCTTGTATCTATATTCCCAACCCTAATTTCATCTCTCTCTTGTTACAATACAGGCTCTTGTTACATTACAGTCACCATTTGTGGAGTTTTCAAAGATTGAATGAGGTGAGGTTCGTATTGCGGGTTACTTGGAAGGAAACGTGGCAAACTACAACAGGGTCACCTTCTTTTTTTTCATTTTCTTAAAATACAAAAAAATAGGAATTTGGTTGTTTTTCTATTCTTAAAAATAAGTTATTGTTTTTTTTACAAGAAAAAAAGAAGAAGAAGTAGTTATTCACTAAAGAGTCCAAGTTGACTCGTAGGAGCAGTCAAGATTTTTTTATATGAGAAAATCCCGTGGTAATTGGAAAGTTGGGTTTTTTTTTTTTCTTTATCAAATTTGGTAGTGAATATTAATTTATATTATTCCTAATAAAAAAAAATGAGATCAGTTTCCCTTTCTAATCTGTTATTTTTTTTCTCTGTATAGGGCGGTTGTTGCGGTTAGCGACACTCATCTTTTTTATGCTGAAGGAAAGAGGAAGAATACGTAAAGAAGAGAGAAAGCCGAGAGGGAGTAAGTCGAGATAAAGATATCTAGAGATACGAGAGAGAGTAAGTCGAGATAAAGATATTTACAAATTTTAGAAAGAAAGTGTACATGCTAATGGGAATAAGCTAAAAGGGTTCCCTATCTTTACGGGAGAGAGAGGGGACAGTACGTGGAGGAGAGAGACGTGAGAGAGAAGAAAAGAAATAAAAAAATATACAAATTTTAGAAACACAGGGTACATGCTAATAAAGAGGAACTTGAGAGATTGACATGAATATTGGAGTAGAGATTTTAGGGAGAGAGATTTGAAAACTAGGAGATTTTTTTTTTTTTGAAACTTTCTAAATACTTATTTCCAACTCAAATTTAAGAAAGAAAAAGATATGCATTAAAATTGTTTCTATATTCCCTATCCAAGAGTATGGTAACCTCTCGCAATACATGCTCGCCTCTCTCACTCTATCTCTATCACGTAAATTAAGGTTTTGATATTATGGAAGTTAGAAAACCTTACCTATATAAACTACATTGGCTTCTATATATCTTTGGTTATTTTTTTCTCTCCTTGCTGTATACTTCTTCCTTACTCTCAATCAATTGGTATCAATATTTGTGACAGGGAAGCTTTCTATATTTTTCTTATAGCATAGAAGTTCTATCCTCCCCCTTATCCAATCTTCTATTTTGAATGGAGGGCTAAGATTGCCCCAATCACAATGTCACGTCTCTATACTATTTTATTTTTAATTTTTTTTTCTATAAACTATTTTGACACCAAATTTTGGACTTTCATTCCTCTATTAAACTCACACTAGCAAAAAATATAAAAAAAAATATTTTCAATAAAATAAAATATTTTAAGGGGTATTTTGGTCAATTTATTTTATCGAAAAATTAGAACTTCTATGATGTAGGGGAATTATAGAAACCTTTCCCATTTGTAACAATTTAGTTACGAGAAAAATTTCTATACTTCCTCTTCAGCATAGAAGAAATATCCTCCTCCTACCATCCAGCCATCCAATTTTGATCAAGAGAGCCACTCACCGTTTGATCTTAAATCCGACGTCTTAAAGTATTTTATTTTTACTTTTTTTTTTTATATACAAATTGTATGAATATGAAATTTGTTACGTGCCATCTTCTTATTGTGGCGAACCTATAAAAAATATTAAAAATAACTTTTCGATAAAATATAATGTCCAAAATATCCCTTGAAATTTTCAGGTGTATTTGGTCATTTTATTCTAATGAAAATATTTTTTTTTATATTTTTCGCTAGTATAAGTTTAATAGAGGATTGGACGTCCAAAATTTGGTATCAAAATAGTTTATAGAAAAAAAAATAGTGTACAGACGTGACATTGTGCTTGGGACAATCTTAGCTCTCCATTCAGAATGGAAGGTTGGATAACGGGAAGTATATAAATTTTAAGCTGTAGGGGAAGCATAGAAAGCCTGCCTTTTAATTATTAGTATTTTTTCCATGTTCACAATTCATTAGTTTCAATTCATTAGTTTTAGTGTGATTCTCTAATATATAGATGTTTTAGTTATGTATTGAAGCAAGAGTCTATTTATACAATAACGTTTTATAAATAATTTCATAAAAATAAATAAGAAAAGCAATATAAGCTATTATTTTTAGTTAATGAATGTTGTTATTGTGTGGAAAATGGAATTGAGAGATTTGATTTCTCTCACTCATGTAAATGTTGAGTCTCCTTCAAAGATTTGATTTGATTTGAGTCATTTGATTTGATTTTTTCTAATCCTCAGCTTTCTAACGTTGAATCTCAGACACTTCTCATTTAAATGTTGAGTCTTCTTATTCACACACACACTTCTTATTTAAATGTTCAAATATTGAATCTCAGAGACACCTCATTTAAATGTTGAGTCTTCCGATTGAGACACATTTCTCATTTAAAGGATGATTCTTCTCATTGAGACACACTTCTCATTTAAATGTCGAGTCTTCTCATTGAGACACACTTCTCATTTAAATGTTGAGTCTTCTCATTGAGACACACTTATCATTTAAATGATTTAAATGTTGAGTCTTCTCAAAGATTTATACACTTCTCATTTAAATGATTTAAATGTTGAGTCTTTTAAAAGATTTTGCTAAGATTACTACTTTTTGTTCAC